AATCAAACACAGTGCAAACAGCTTTGCAACAGTGAAAAAATCCTGAACGAAAGTTGCTAACCGTATTGACATACAATTTATTGCCGTTAGAATTACTGTAACAAAATAGAAGATTGATCATGGTCAATATAAAAAAGTCCTCCAAATATTACTGAACCCGCTTTATTATGTTTTACTCCCATTCTTCTTTCAATCACCACGTCAAGGCAAATTTCAAATAGTTAAAATCATTTCTGAAAGAGCTTACTAAGCAAAATTGTTGCAAGCAATGCCGGAAGTCCGCTAGGCGGTTCACAATTCGGATAAAACGGTCGCAGCATGTATATCGCAAAAGTCAATGCTACAACTGTGCAAGTACACGGTCTGAAACCAAATATGATGGAAAATAAAAATGGAAGATTCAAAAATGCACCGCAAACAATTTTCAACAAACATAGTACGATCCTGAAATTCACCTTACTACCACAGCTTCAACCCAGAGACGTATGAAAGCCAGAAATGGCCCGAATGACTCCATAATATATGTATAATCTCCACCCGATTTGTGAATTAGAGTGCCAAGTTCGGCATAACAGTATGCACCAATCATAGCAAACAAACCGCAAACAACCCAAACAATAAGCGACAATCCGACACTTCCTGCTTCTAAAATTAGAAATATATATTAATTCAGTAGAAACTCTCCATTAAATTCTTATAAAAAGAAATGAATGGCTAACACTCTTATATGACCCTAAAAGAGGTAAAGAATGACTACTATTTACTTTCTTGAACACCTGTCGGAGATACGAATATCCCAGACCCAATGATACATCCGATGATTATGGAAACGCCATTGACCAATGTTAGCGATTTCGCAAGGCCGACATTGTCATCTTTCGGAGAAGCGCCATTTTTTGAGCCCATCTTAATGATAATGATAGAAGGTGAAAATGAATTTTAATTTAATTAATAAGTACTATAACGCCATGCGTCCATAAATAAGTAAATCACTACGTAAATATATGAACAGAGATTAGCAAATAAATAAATAAATACATATAGATATAACACAATATGATATAAAGACTTATGATGCTACGGTTAATAACCGGATAAAAATAGAACTGAACTAACGGAACCCCTATAGAAGCACCAGTAACCTCAGCAGCTTATCAAGTCTCGCCTTAGACGTTCCGAATCAATGAAAACACCATAATCTTTCAAAACAACCCAAATCCTAAGAAATCCTCCGATTCCACTCAGCCTTGGCTTGGATAACTATGGCCGCATTATGAATTGACGGTATCCCAGCCTAAATAAAAGGCTTACTACTTTGTTGTTATTGGGCAATCTTATAATAACTACTGCAACTAGTAATTATTCATATGATTCGATAGATGAGGAAGAAATCTTTAACAATCAATTGCTGAAGAAGTCACGCCGACTGAAATCCCGGATTTTGTTTCTATCTGCTTAAACCTTCAAGTGGATCTTTTAAATGCTTTTTAAAATGTCTGATCAAACAATAAATATTGGTTTTTCCATTTCTTCATTTCTTCAGTTGTCCGATTAGATTCCAGTACGATTGCACGAGGTACTCCCATCTTTTCCATCCTTATTCCAGGAAAATGACAGCGGTTGGGAAAACCTTCTTCTCTCCCACTTCCGTTAATTGTTCCGTAAACCGTCTTGTCATGCACAGTTACAGCAATCAAATCTTTCAACTGAAAGTTCTTGAAACAAGAAAAAAACGTAGGAAAGAAATGTTAAAGAACGAAAACCATGTCTATAACGTTAATTTTTGATCACAAAGCCTTTTTGTGTGACAGCTGCTATAAATATTTTCTTCTGCATCACATATTTCGAGAGCAAAGAATCAGTAGTAAGGGATTAAGGATTAATACCGGTTAGCGTCTCTTTGTGTAAAAATTGTCCCCTTTTCTATTACTCTTTTAAGCATCAAAGATCATCTTTTTAAATGGCATTTTTCATCATTTGTTCACAAAGCTATTCTAAGTAAAACACTGATTTTTAGTAACTCCATCTTGCGAGCTGGACTGTCAAGTGCTTTATTATCGGCCCATGACAAAACAAAAAGCAACTTGCTAGTAGAACAAGCACTGGACAATTATTCCACAATGGAAATTTAGGCCACTTCACCTATATCACACCTCTTTATTTTACCCTCCGTTAAATATTCCAAAACTTAATTTATCGAGGACAAAAATGCTATTGAATAAAAAATAAACTAATTCGTCACAATAACTTTTTGTTTATTTCAAAACGTGATATTGTGTGATATGAAGGAAATAGTACCGGATCCGGTGAAGGATGTGGGGAAAGATTTGAAACGAAATGTACAACATTTATTTGTTCCGGATGTTATGCAGGCCTTTGTTGTACAGGGTTTCAAAATCACCCTCTTTAATAAGGGAATGGTACCGGATCAATGCCACAACTGAAATTTATATTATGATTATTGTCAAACTAAACTCAGAACCGTCTTTTACTTACTGATTAATTACTCCATCACTAAGTCTTCTACCAGATTTAAAAACAAAGTTTTTTGACGAAAAAATAATTTTCGATTCTTGTTCTCAGCAACCACTGCAAAATCAAAAAAAACTACGACGAAGTACAAAGTCTTCTACATCAAGAAATAAACAAAGGGTCGGAATGAAATGTAATCATGGGCGCACGAGTGTTATTTACCGCAAGCACAACAAGTTTATAACTGATTCTTCCCCTTTTGCAATCATTCGTTCAAAAGTACAGATGTGGACCATTGGTTGGAACTGCCGTTATCTTCCTGATCTTGGGTGGCTTTGGTTGGTTGCAGTTTACAAATCAGCTTCCATATATATTAGAACTGCTTTGCAAATTTGTTTTTGCAAACAATAAACATTAAAATCATAAGGAAGAAGGAGAGGTATCTAACTTCATAAGGCCATAAGGCAATTTTAGAATGGCTGAGTGACGTCATCGAAATGCCGCACCGTAATTTCACAAATGCATACAATGTTGCAATTATTTCAGCAATAGCAAGTAGCAATAAAGTATTTACCAGGAACCGTAAAATTTAGGAGCTTTCAATCAGACATCAATTTGTGTCATCATTTCACGTGATTGAGTATTGTGTTTGTCATTATACAATTTGTTGGTCTGCATGAGACTGATCGGTAATGACATTGAAGCTATTATTATAATGTTTGCTGTTGCATTCCTCTCGTCCCTCACTCCCTCTTAGAGACAATCCTGACATATTATGAGAATATATCTCGCCTTCTCCTTAGAGGCAAAACTGTCTCGAAAGCCATTACTTGGTTCGAAGAATCAAGGATAAAACTAGGTCGGCTAACTAGGAATTCGATGCAGTGCTATGAAAAGTAATATGACCTGCAAGAAGCGTAGCAGCAGAAATCCAACTTCCACCGCCAATGTCCACATGTTACTTGATCTCCTAATGAACAAAAAATCGAAAGGTATGTGACTGTGTATGTGAGGATATCTCGCACACACACGCACACACACACGCACACACACACGCACACACACACACACATTATCATGAAAATTATAATAATAAATATATCGAAATAATTAAAATAATTTGTGTTGTAGAAATATCCCTTACTCAGGCGATTCATCGCATAAATTGTAATTTAATAAATGTTACAATGTCTAATATAATGAACTATTCAGCTGATTCTCATCTTTGTTTCCGATTATCAAAGGTTAAATTGTCGGAGATCATAACTAATCTTGTATTTGATGGTTTTGCTGTAATCAGCTCTTCCTTTACACAGCTCTCCTTCTTTATATCTATTCCTATAACCAAAAGGATTTTATCAGAATGTGCTTATTGTAAATCACTCCCATTCTACATATATATATATATATATATATACCTCTGTAGCTTACCTGCACTAGACTAAAGCAACTTTTTTTGACCTCATATCTGAAAGTTATCTTACAATATCCGCTGACATTAAATTCTTTGTTAATCAACAAAACTATTCAAACTATTTGTCTGTGATACGCGACAAAAGAGGACCCTATCGTCTCCTCTCCTAATAAACAAAAAATTTTTTCACAACACACATGCACATTAGCAGAACTCCGTCACTGTTATAATCCCTTGTTTCGTGAAAGTTTTTCTAGGCTATCATAATGCTTAATCGAAATGGAACAGGTGAGAAGAAATAGGAAAGGAAAGTTCATCAAAGGTATGAAAAAAGGAAGTGTAAAAGCAAAGCGGGCATATTTCAAAGGAATTGTACATAATGAAGTGGATGGGTAACTGGTTGTTTTCTAGAGAACATTGACAACTGCAACTCACTAAAGCATTCTCAAGAATGTTCCGGAAGAGTGCAACGTTAAGTATGTTGCTAAATTAGTCAAGTAGACGAGGTAATCATTCGAACTTTGATGCACTGCATCACTCTATCTGACAATACTAGAATACTTGTTTCCGTAAGGGCAGCAACGCAAATTTAGGAAAAAACAATTTTCCGATTACACATCTGACTCAATATTGAATATTTACAAATAATTTAGCAGAACTTTTGGATGCTTGAACAATGGACATTATACGGGACCCAGTTATACCACCTGACTGTCGTACTGATTAGCCTAATCCACGAGTCACTGAATTCTAAAATAAAGAAACCAAAAAATAACAAACGACAGGTTTAAAGCTCACAACACTATGCAACAACCATCTATCAAACACGACACTCCTCGCGCCTCACTCAAGAAAATGCATTACGGCACTCAAATAACTGAACATGAAGATATATACTTTCATATCTGACCTCAACTTGTACAGGTATCTGCATCGAGCGTTTGCCATGATTCGAGAAATGCTATTGACTCTGTCCAATGAAAATTCTCAATGGGCAAGAGTCTAGATCAAGTTGAGCTTATTTTTAAGGAATAGCGAAGAGCACTGCGAAAACACTTCCAAAGTACCATAACCGCCAGTTAGCTCCACGAGAAGTACCCGCTCTCCCTGTTCTCCAGTTATTGTAAAGCGGTTTATGGCAAGCTATGCATGTAAACAATACTTTGCTTCTTCCTGCAGTCTCGCATGAGCAATTAATTATTCATGCAGGAATTCACCCTTCCTCTCCTTCAAATACCAAAATGTCGATACATTACAGTCTCCATCATCGCCTCCCTCCCTCTCTGCCTCTATCTTCATTTCTCTCTTCATACCAGAAACACTTGAACTTTATCTTCCCTTTTCACCTTTCACAGTACATTTTGCTCTTCTCTTTGCTGCTATTCCCATTCCGCCCTATCGGTTTTATCAGTCTCTGTGGTCTCTTCAATTATCACACTATTTTTTGCCCACAGGCACTGCACACATGCTACATTTGCATGCCTACAGCCTGCTCCGTAAACAACTGCGATTTCTGCTTTGGGAATTGTATTCTCCGTGAACAAATGTGAAGAGTAAAATGATGTGTCCCGCAGGATTTTCGGTACTTTCTAAATTTTTTTTCAATCAATATTGTTTTTTAATTCTAATGATATGGAGGTTTCTCCAAATTTAGTTCCAAATGTTATGGGATGAAAAGTTACAAGCCACAGCATTTTCACTGCCTTGTATCCGTTTCCTCCTCTATTCTTTATAACTCTTCTGCTTCATTTCCTTTTTTATGAGTAACTTTTTTCTATTTATTTAAAATTCCACTGATCACCATCACAGTGTTTCACATTAAATGATTTTCTGTGACGTTTCCACATTCTCTAACGTTTGTCTGACGTGTCATTTTTGCCTCGCTAATTTTTTTTTTAAATTCACTACTATCGTTCCGGTTTACAATAACTAACACTAATTAATGTTACAAATTGAAGTCGTTGCTGTATTTATAACTGTCATACAAGTTTATTAAAATCATTATTACTGTTTTTTCTTTTCTTGATTCAGAAAGCGTGATTACCGTGAGACAGGTACGTTGATTTTGCTGTGTTTCAGGGCATCGCTGATTCAGATTATGGATGCTGTGGACATAATTGTCCTCACAACTCTTCTCGTTGCAATTTCCTGTTTCGGATTGTTCACAGCATTGCGTGGCGCCAAACAAACATCCGCTGCTCAGATTCTACACGGGTCAAAGTTTGTACTCTCAACTTATTCTTATTGAAAATGTGAATTCTGCGTTGCATATGTGACAACAAATCGACGGTTGAAAAATTGGGCAACATATGAAAATATAACACTTGTGGGTGCTGACCGGGTTCAAGTTTCTTGAAGTATGATTTGATAAGAAAAGTCAGATTAGTAATTTATTAATAATTGTGGGATCAATTCAGGATATTGTTTTGTCAATTGTTACAATGATTTCTGAATGGGACAGCAGAAATAATTTTTTTAGCATATCTGTACTGACGTCAGCTTTATCGGTTTGTTCGGGATTTCTTTCTGCAATTTCACTCCTTGGATTTCCTGCAGAGGTACATGTACTGCTTAATTTGTTCGATTAAAAATGCTGTCTCGGTTTAATCTTTTTTCACTTAGCAGATAATTCCATCAATTTTTCTCTCCAATTGTTTAAAATCCTTTTCGTTGGTGAAGGATTTACATAGGTTTTTTTTTCACAATTTTATTCTTATATTCACTCCCGTTTTCCAAAATTTACACCAATTTGTTTGCTGAACTACGAGTTTTCGTGCAGATCCATTATCAAGGAACAATGATATTTTGGTATGGCCCGATGTACGTGGTGGCATTTCCTATTGCAGCTTATTGTTTCCTGCCCGTTTTCTATAATATGGAGCTTACAAGCATATACGAAGTTGGTATCTTATCTGCCATTATTGAGTATTCCATCTGTGGAGATTCTTTCAACTTTTAACTTTTTTGTATTTCTAGTATTTGGAGATTCGGTTCAATTTTGCATGTCGCTTTTTGGCTTCACTTACTTTCTGCATCCAGGTAACAGTGTTTTGTTTGATTGTTACAAAACTTAAACTGTTGCTTTCATCACAAGCTGTTTTGACTAATCGTTGGTTGAAAATATTGGTTTGAGTAACTGATCTTTATGTTTCATAAACTGATATGGGACTGGGACTTTTTGTATTATGTATTGCTAATTATTGCTACAAATCGGAAACTTTCTAAGTAAATCATAAAAGTGATTCACAGTGTTTGAAATGTGAAGTGAGTTGCAGAATCAGTATCATAAGTCATTATCATTTTTGGTCAGCTGGTGTGCATGACTTGTTCGCAGAAAAACTTCGGATCCCTGAGCATCATATGGATGCAGAACGTGCATTGAGTAGTTGTAGTGAGACACAGCCTGCGGTACTATTGGTACACCAACCAAATGGTGCCTCTAAAATCCTACGTAGTACTAAGAGACGAATCGATTTGATTTTATCAGGACATACGCATGCTGGACAGTTTTATATCGTATGGTTTCTCGCATACCTGAAAGTGATTTTTTATATGGACACTACAAAGTAAAACTGCGACAAAATGACATAATATTATTTTGAAAAAGTTTTGAATTTCAATGGGTTTTTTTCGATATGCCGCTAATATTTTGGTTATATTGTTGTTTAGATTCCATCTGTTGCATGAAGAAGGTCATGTAAAAGTATGTGCTTAAATTATGAAACAGGTTTAAGATTGGAGCTACAACTGTGGTAAATGGAGGTAAGTTAGTGGTAAGATCAATCTCTTTCGATTTCTCCATTCATAATAAATTAAATTACTTTTCAAAATAACATTTTACTTGTAGGTCTTGCTTTATGTTAGTGTGGCACTGTATGCACCAGCACTTGCATTATCGACAGTTATTTCTGTCCCGTTAGCTGTATCAGTTGTTATAACGGCAGGTCTTGCCGCTCTTTATGTGACATTGGTAGGTTGTTATACTGGGGAGGATGTTTACTTGAACGATTTTTTTTTCGACTGATTCATGATCCAGCTTTCAGGGGGGCGCAAAAGCAAGCATATATACTTCGGCTTTACAAATGGCACTTATTTTAGCAAGTCTGGTACTGATTTTTTCAATCAGTTTATATCACTTCGGTTTTAACAACGTTTTAAAAACTGCTGTTGCTGGAGGTCGTCTGCAGTTACTTGAGTAAGCTTTTGATTTATGCTTCTAAATGAAGTGTCAGGTAGGCTCAGAACTGAGACAAACTCCAGTACTAACTAAAAAGACCTACAAAAAAGGAACGTTGAAGAGGATCAAGAACAATCCGAAATCTCAATAAGATTAGTCAATTTCATCGGAGAATAATGGATTATGCATGCTGTACTTCAACAATTTTTAATTGTTTACAGTTTTCGAATTGATCCACGTATCCGACATTCGGTTTGGTCATTGATGATTGGTGGTACAGGAAATATATTGTGTCTTTTTGCAGCAAATCAACTTACAATACAGCGTTATATGGCAATGAGTTCTCTTCGATCTGCTCAATGGTAAATTTTTTCATCAGCTCATTTCTGAATCCTATCGATGATAATTTATGGAATGATACTTTAGGGTTATTCTGCTTAATATTCCCTTCAACTGTTTGATTCTTACGATGTATGTTGGTGCAGGACTGATGATATACTATAAATATTTTCATTGTAACCCCGTTCTTCAATCAAAAGACCAAGTAAGTATTGTAATGTCCTCAATTTATTTTGAATTTAACATACATAAATTAGTTTTGCACATTTTCCGTAGCTCACATTTTTATGCACTCATCGATTACGTTGTTTAGAGTTAATTCTTCATTATAAATTTTGAACGAAAAAAGTTCTGAAGATCTTGTCGATATTTCATGTGTGTTCCTGAAAGTTTATCATTGCATCAAGCCATCATTTCTTGCTTTATGAGACATGCGTAGCTTATCTTGCAGCTCTTTCCTCGTTTCGTTGTTGATGAGCTCTCTGCCATACCCGGAATTGTTGGTCTTTTTACAGCAGCTGTATATAGCGCAGGTTTAAGGTACAATTGGAATAACAAAGCTTTTTTCAATATTGCATAAATTAGAATGTCATTGCGAAATGGAGATATCATAAATTGTTCTAATCCATCTCTAATCCATGTATCAGATATGATGGAGATTATATTTCCTGATGTGTTTTGTTTCAAAAGTTTTTAGTACGGCGTCAGCTTCATACACTGCCCTCGCTTCAGTATTCATCGAAGATGTTATTAAACAGTTCCAAACTAAGGTGCAAAAACAGGAATCAATGAAGCCAAATTGTAGTATCTTACTAGCACGATATCTACGTATGCTTTATTGCTGTTTAATTTATTTATTCCAAGTTTAATGTCAGAAATCTGCACTTTTTTTCTTCAAAGTAATTATTTTTCAGCATTATTGTTTTGTTGTTTATCAGTAGTAATCGCTTATCTTTGTAGCGTAATGAAAACGATGATGCTCCAGGTTAGTTCTTGCCTTGATAGTTATAAAGATATTCTGATAAAAAATTTTTTGCTTTAACGCCACAAAAATTCACTTTTTACAGGTTTCATTTTCAATATTCGGAATTGCTGGAGGACCCGTGTTGAGTGTCTTTTGCCTGGGCATGTTTTTCCCAAAAATTAAGGGACTGGCAGCTTTTACTGGTTAGTACACAGGAACATACAAAACTAAGCATTGAAGTTAAAAATAAAATTATGACAATAATATCAATTGAAGGATTTGAAGGGATGTGATACTGAGTTAAGATAGAATTTTAGCTCAGGTGGCGTCAACAGTATTCTGCGTTTTCATTGCTGTTGGTGCATTGGTAAGTGATGTAAGACCTGTCGGTTTACCAATTGATGAAACTTGTGGGCAAAATAATGTCACTTTACAATTTGTTGAAAAACCGGAGTACGGAATGGTCCATCCTTTACTAAGGTATACTTGTTTCATTTTTAACATTTCTTTTTGTCTATCTGGTTTGCTTTATCATGTTTAATTGAAATCTAGCATTTCAAATCATTAGCTAAGAAAGTGCTTTGTAGACAATTGCTCATTTTTCAGCAATTCATGGTTAATTCAACTATTTCGTCTTTCTTATCAATACTACAGCATCTCTGCGATATTGGTTGCGTTTGTAGTTGCACATGTTGTTCAGTGCTTTTCAGGTATTTTTGAGTTTTTTAAATCAGCCCAACACTTGTTTGTTGCCGAACAAAATCATTTATTGCTTAATGATTTCAGAAAATGTTGAAAATTTACCAGTGGAAGCGAGACTGCTATCACCTTTATTTTGGTCAGCACATGACCAAAAGGTATTGTCAGTTTTCACAGCTGCGTTAGTTAGCATTTCTCTTGTTTTTATCAGTAATTACCTGTCTGTTGGAAATCAAAGGTCTCTGACCGTGTCACAAAGTTACCTTGAGTGAAAATTAATTTCAATTCTTCGTGCCCATTTTTATATTTTTTAAAAAGTAGTTTTGTATGAGGGAATTTCAATCTCTATGATCTCAGGGAACTATGTTGGACTACGCTTCTGGAACAGGAAAGAATGACGAAATCCCGTTGGGAAATGTCAGATAAGACAAAGTCTGTATTAGGTATCAGTCTCGTACATCCATTTATCAGGACGCTCGTTCAGCTGTCCTATGAAGTATTCTGTTACTCTTTTGCTTAATTCATTGTGCAGTGCACTTCGTTAAATACATTTCGATCGCTGGGAATAAATTACTTTTAGTTTGTGGGTTTGGTTTATAACTGGTGTACAGTCTTGTAGATCGAAATATTAACCTTTGTTGAACCACATCATTTCAAATGTTAACATTTGCTATCAGAAACAGATTTATCAAAGTGAAGGTGTAACTTATGTTCACTTTTTTTTGAAAATGTTTTATGTCTTCTTTAGATTGTTTGGATGGAAATACTTCGCGTATCTATAAAATGAATTTCAAAAATATAGAACATAATGCTGTTTCTCGTCCTAGAAATATGTTGTGATAGTGCCACTTGCAAGCGATAACATGTTCCAGAATAACACACCAAATGCTACGGATATGATTTATGCTTAAAATAAGATTCAAAGAAATTCTGTTTTTCTGTAGAGTTACTCATCCGTCATCCATGTCCACGTGTAGCTTAGATCAATCTTCACTTCAATTATTTCCATCTAAGTAGCAATAAACTGAATAAGTGGTTGAAAAGGAAGACATGAAAACTGAACCTGTATGGAAAAAAAACCACTTGACGGACGCTGCTAGAAGTCTAGTCGCGGATCAACAAAAAAATTTTTTCGAAAAAGTTTAAACGCTTTCCTTAAGAATGTCTCAGTAAGCCTGCTCAAGCAAACTTGGAACTTTTCCCATTCTTATTTTTTCTTCATTGGTAGTGTATCACTCATCGATGTATATCCAAATTCTTGGCAGAAGTCGAGGCTTTGTCACAATGATAAATTAGAAGTGGGATAGAAACTCATATATATATAAACGAATGAATAAATATATATATATATAGATGTAGTGGCGTAACTTTTCAATATGTGGTGCTCGTTGAAGGCCTTAAAATTGAGTAATCAAAGGATGAAATCAAAGAATATCAACAAATTACAGTAATCTACTGCTATGTGTATACTCACATCTCTCAGAATTGTTAACCATTAGCAAATATGGGCCGTAAGAAATGCTCGTCACTGGTGAACAATTGATATGGGTTTCAACAAAAAAGAGTAAAAATTTGATACAAGTTAGACGTTGAGTGGACATTTGCATGACTGTCTTTACGAGCCTTCTGCCATATAGCTTGATAGGTGATGATTTTCAGTAAGGGTTGGCGGTTTGCAGGTAGCGATGGTAGTCGTAACGACGTTCCATCCGTATTTTGTCAAAGAAAGAATCAGAAAAAGGAGAGTTTTCTCAAATTGTCATTCAAGTGAGAGAAAGGTCATTCCGACATAATTATGTCATGTACCTCACAGTAGTGTGTTGCTGCTGCTACTCGGGAGTGAAGCAGGAAGATGGATGGGTAGAGCAGTGCGATCTCCATGAGCTTTATTCTCTTCATTGATGGTGCTTAAAGAGAGGGAGCTGTTTGATGACACTTTCTCGTTCTGTCCCTTTTTCTCTCCAATTACAGCAGGGTGCCAGATGTTTAAATCATTATTTGAGTAAACGACAGCTAAAGACCGAGGGCACGAAGTGCACTCATTACTCGGACATTTCATCACGGACATGACAAAAATTGGCCAACAATAGATTAATTAAGAGATTATGGGATGGGAATTTTCACCGAGCTCTAACCATAGTGGTTTGGATGGCAGATATCGTGGATGGTCGTTCGGAATGTGACCTTTACCAGCGGGCGACTTCCGGGGAGGAGGGGACCTGTTGAAGTCCAGTGAAGAAGGTGAGACGCGAGAGTAGAGATTGGGCGGTTGCAAATATTTTCTCTTCTACTACTCCTTAACTGTTCCATATTTCGTTTAATAATAGTTCAAGCAATAGCGCTACACTCGGTGACAAAAGCGAAGGTGACGTGGGTGTTGTTGATTATAACGGATATTTTGTCAGCAACTGCCGTTACGTTGACGGGGCATGATTTTATAATTGAAGGGTAGGTGAGTAAAGGAAGAAAGCAAACTATCTCTTCAATTCAGAATATATCTCAGGGAAAGATGAAGAGAAAATGCAAAAAATCCCGATCTGAAGTATGTTAGGGATAACAATCCATTACTTTTTATTTGTTTTTTTCCTTCCACACTTTTTTCTCTTTTTTGCTTTACATTTTCTCTTTTCCTTCAGAGCGAATGAGAGCAACAGGACAACTTGTTGGTTGTGGACCAGGAATTTATATAAAGAAGATCAAAATTACGGGTATTAATGATTATATTATGTTGGCGGTCATGTGATTGTGCCTTAACAGATTAATGATAATCATACTGCAATAATGATCATGGTAGTTGTGGTTATTTCAGTAGAAAAAATATTTTGCTAGTTTGCATCTTTGTTTATTCTTTTCTTCAGTACTACCTCATATTTATCTGCTACTCCGTTGAATAGATTATTGGTGTTACCAGCTGTTATAACATATCCTTTTTGTGGTAAATTCTCTTACTATAAGGAACGACAAGAGGAGTTTTATCCTATGAATAACTAATCCTTTCTTGTTGATTCCTTTACTTGGTCTTTTCGTGTGGCTATATGTCATTTCTTCTTTCTTTATGCGTATGTTGTTGAAATCATATGATTATAAAGAAGGAAAAATGCTTTCAGGGAAGTTTTAGGAAACAAGAGAATTTGCGATGTTTTTCTTTTTTGAATAGATTATAATCCGTTTTAAAAGAAAGTGTTGAAGAATGGGTTGCGTGAACAGCACCGATCAAAATGCAAAAGCAAGATCAAAGCAAATAGATGAACAGGTATTTTTTTCTGAAATTCATTTTTAATGTATGTGACAACATAAAGTCATCTTTTATTTGGGTAGTATCATTTATTTTAGTAGCCATGAGTAAGTTATTTCTACCGTGTTAATGGTCTGTCAACATTTCCAGTTAAAAGCAGATGGCGAAAGGGCATCGCGGGAAGTGAAACTGTTGTTATTAGGTGCAGGAGAATCTGGAAAGAGCACTATTGTGAAACAAATGAAAATCATTCACGAAACTGGTTACAGTGATGAAGAGCGCAAAGCTTATAAGCCTGTGGTGTACTCGAATACAATTCAAAGTATGATGGCAATCATACGAGCTATGGGACAGCTTAAGGTTATATCATTTTTGATTAATTGTTAGTCATATATTATTAGAATCATGATCGATTAGTTATAAAATCTGTTGTTGAAACAGTAGAAACTGTATCATGGAGTGAAACTTTTTTATTGGCATTGGGGTCCCAGAATGCTTCTCGCTACATTTCTGGATGAGGTTCTTAGTATGTTCTTCGATTCATACTAATACATTATAATAAACGTCGTCGTAGCTTCCGTAACTAAATTCCCGTACACTTCTCGTCACTGACATTGAGTATGATTATTTATAATCATCATTTAGGAAAAAGAAGAAAAATTGTAAAATGTTTGTATTTACAGATAGATTTCTCAGCAGATGTGCGAAATGAAGATGCTCGCCAGTTCTTTATGCTAGCCCAAAGTTGTGATGAGGGAGAATTGCCTCCTGAGTTAGCTGTTTGTATGAAACGTTTATGGGCAGATCCAGGAGTTCAGGAATGTTTCATGCGTTCCAGGGAATACCAATTGAATGATTCCGCTCCATATTATTTGAATTATCTAGACAGGTATATTTCTTTTCCAATATTCACTCAAGTTTTTTGACTGTTTTATCTACTGCAAATCAGTCTATATTCTAAATTTACCATAGCTATCGCATTCTTTGTGTCAAAATAGTTTTAATTAGGTATTGGCTGAGAAATAAGTAAGTGGTTAGAGAGGCTGTATTTTGGAACATCATGATTACGAAAAAGTTTTGTATGTCCACATAATTTTGATCCTGATTTACTGTGATGAAGTTTTTCCAGTGCATTCTATTTTCAGGATATCACAGCCTGGTTATGTGCCAACACAAGATGATATTTTGAGGACACGTGTGAAGACGACAGGGATTGTTGAAACGCATTTCACCTACAAGGATTTACATTTCAAGTGCGTGGTCAGGATGATATGATATCATTATCCTTCTCTAATGTTACAATTGATATTTCATATTCACTGCATCATTAGATGTGACTGATTTCAGAATGTTTGATGTTGGTGGGCAGCGTTCTGAGCGCAAAAAATGGATCCATTGCTTTGAAGGTGTAACAGCTATTATCTTTTGTGTAGCAATGTCCGAATATGATATGAAGCTTGCGGAAGACGATGAAATGGTAAGAATATTGTGTTTTTCCTTTCGTCATGTTTAGTCTACTTATCATTGCAATTGGATTATTATTCAACAGTTCAAGAGTACAAACCCTAACCTTCTTTAACTTGGGCTTGTTTCATGACTTTTTTCAGTAACTTCTTAACAGTAATTTGGCCAAGCTTAACAATAATGAGGGTAGTCTTTTTAAAGCTTTCAGAGCACTTGTCAACTTTATTTAGCTCTTGCTATTCGCATGTTGCGTTAAGATTTCAAGATTGAGTGTTGTGGAATCATGTTTCTCAAATTAATGATTATAGAATCGAATGGTGGAAAGCATGAAGTTGTTCGACTCAATCTGCAATAATAAGTGGTTTACTGACACGTCAATAATATTATTCTTGAACAAAAAAGATCTTTTCGAAGAAAAAATAAGGAAATTGCCATTAACATTATGTTTTCCAGAATATACCGGTCAGTATTTCTGTTCTAGTACTTCGGCTTACCAAATAGAGTATCATACTCTCTCTGAACATTTGCACATGCTTTAATAGCTCTCTTGTATTTCGCTCTTTTACTGATATAAGCTGCTTCAATATGAAATTATTTTATATACATAATCCTCATTTATCAATTATCATGAATTGTTAGTTCAGGTACAAACACATATGAAGAAGCAGCCGCTTATATACAGTTGCAGTTTGAGAATTTGAACAAGCGAAAAGATGGTCAGAAAGAAATTTATACTCATTTCACGTGTGCAACGGATACAAACAACATACGCTTTGTGTTTGATGCCGTTACCGACATAATAATTAAAGAAAATTTGCGACAATGCGGTTTATTTTAGGCGCCACACACTGATTCATCTGTAGTGGTGATCTTGGACTAAAATGTTAAATTAAATATTTTAAGTTAGATTTGAGTAAAGAATGTTGGGAATTGAAATTTCAACTTTTGTAGGTTTGATATTTTTGATGGTATCATTCATATAATTGTTTTTAAATTTGTAAGAAAAAGGTACATCATCGGCAGGAGTTTTCTGTGAAGCAGCTGACGAAACGATAATTATTTCTCAATTTCTTCTATTCTTCGAATTGTCTTGTATGTCACTGTGTTGCTAATTAAACCAGATCTAGCATTTCCTGCATCTTGCACATAATTTATTTGTTTAATTTATATTTAGTTTTACTGTCCCTTCCCGTAATCCTTTGCTGAGGATTACGTGGATCGCAATTTCCAGGTACTATCGCTGCCACATTCTAGTTGTTCATATCTGTATTACTTTCTTCAATCTTCCAGTCAGTCCAGTGAATCAATATCTCTAACATTTTAAAAAGTCTGAAAATCATCTAAAAGTTTAGGAAGTTTAATTAAAAGATAAGTGCTTATCCTACCGAAGTCAGTTTTCTCTTTCATTGCCTGCATGAAGGTTTTATTGGTATTTAAAAATGCATTTTTGTTTGTTTATTTGCCACCGAAATGCATTATTTTTTGGGGCTTCCTATAAAAAGCCCGTAGTGAGGATCTTTATCGCTTTTAGTGCATGCAGATACAGTTCGCGGTCACTGGTCTCTGAATGTCTATTATTAGTTATCCAAAATGAAGCATAGTAAGCTGGATGATTTATTTATTTAGATTCTAAGCATGTTTTAAGAATAGTAATTATTACGAAGTTTGTGATTGTCTTTGTTGATGTGGGTATAGTATGCAATGAGATAGAGCCGTGAAGGCTGAAAATTTTTTGGGATCACTCCACTGAAAATATTTGCCCAATAATTTAGCAAAGTCGTTCAGCACTATATAATATATGTTGTAATGTATTCGCTATCAGCTGATGCCAAAAATGCTACTGCTTCATTTTTGCTGTTATTGCTGTCATCGATTTATATTGCTTTTTTTGCTCTGGGAAGAATTCTCAAATTGAGCTTTATTCATCTTCTTTCCCTCTCATAATTATCAAAACGATGTTATTTAATGGATATACATTTTTATATTCGTTCGTTCTTATTCTACCCTCATTTTCCACTAATTTTTTAATTTGCTTGACCGTTAAAGATAAACAAATTTCGACAATTTGCAGTATTAATTTGTGTGTTTAAAATTACAACTTAAACTGGAATTGACTAGTAATACAATATGAAATTTCAATCAAGCATCATTTGTTGTCGGGAAATAACCTGGTTTGGCGGGACGAATTGCAAGGGGAGAAGTGACTGATGCTACAGTAAGGTATTTATGAAAAAAAAAATGTGGTGTAGTAGAGCAAATTGGAATATGAAGTTAGAGTTAGCAAACTTTCCATCAAGTTGTACGACTTGTGATGCAGGTGGTCATATGTGTGAATCTGTATGATCAGGCTTAGATAATGTATACTGTCCCATTCAGGAATAATCATTGTTGATCTCTTGTCAAGACGATTGGGTTTCTTCATGTAAGTGTTGGAGTTTTTCATAGATTGCAATAAATCTGTTTGATTAGTGCTAACACTGTTAGTTGCCCGGAAAATACTCAAATAGCGTCTAACGAGGAAATCTCATAAAATGATGAGAATTCGACGTATCACATTGACTGTGCGCCATTTGCAGTTTATGGATAAAAAAAATGTGGTATTTGTTGGCGGAATTAGTAGGAGATATTTATTACGGATGTATACCATATCAGGTAACATTATTTTTCCGGTCAAGGACGTTTATCTCCCTTTACAGATAATATTTAGCGGTTGAAGTATATGGGGGAAGAAAGGGTAGGTGGAGCGGAGAAAAAGGAAGGTGCACAACATTCCTTATGATCTCACAGCTGACAAGATTCTTTTTTAGCTGGTGTATGAAAAATTATTACTTCTAACTTAATTGATTATACTAAACCGATTGAATTTAACTTAACCGCTGAAACAAATGAAAATGTACGAGATCAATTTTAGAAATCAAGTAATACAATCTTCTAAACTTAAAGAGATTTCGCAGAATTTAGAATGGGATAGCGCTAGTTTTCCAGATAAAACTGAAGTATCATTGTGTTTTAGGTGATTGATATAACTAAAAGCACCATTAAACCACACAGATATAGTCCTTTTAATCGGTAATTTAGGTAATTTACTTTAATTGAAGACAATACAAGAAGTAAATTGTTGAAACTGAAAATGTCAGGAATCCTAAAGTTTTTTGAGATGAGGGAGGGTAAGAGTTGTTTTCACATTTTGTTCAATTTGAATTTGAAATGATAAAATGTTGACAGTGAATAAAATACATAGAGTATTCAAGGTTTCAAACTGCTGGAATTCTGTTCATCTCTCCACATGTTGCTCAAATCGCTTACTCTTTGCAATCGTTGCAATTTAAATCGTTCTTTGAAATGCCGAAGAAATGTTGAGGACTGATTGGATATGTTACTTTTGAGTTCTAACTTTATGGAGTGTACTTTGATCTTGCATATTATTAAAGTGATTGCAGCCATAGTACTGACCTAGAATTAGTTAATTTGCTTTCTGCACAATTCCGACGAAAAATTTCCTTGGAGAATACACGTTAGAACTACTTCACCACGTAGCTGTAAATTTTTCTTCTTGTGCTATACTGAAATGGACGACGATCACTGCTTGATAAGCGAAGGAACTGTAGAAGGAAAATTGGGAGGAGGTCGCAAATCAGAGTTCCGTTACCCGTGGATATTGAAAAGTCCGGGGAAGAGGGGTGAAAAGGTGATCGAAGATGATGATGATGACGCGATCATCGATATGTGTATTTAAATGTAAAGAAATTTAGGCCGATGAACGACCGCTGAAAGACGGGAACGAGGTCAAGGAGGAGTGACTAAACAACTAACAGGGGAGGTGTGATGATAAGGTGTGTACCATAGTACAAACCCCAACAGTAACTACAGCAACTACTATCACAACTTGTCATTACTAACTAAACGTACCAGCCTACTATAGCCACTCTCTCCTGTTAGACGTAGCCAGTCATCACATTAATTCCAGAAATAATCAAATATAGGATTTCAGGTAATTATCAATGGTATCTTGTGCTCTGTTATCGTTACTGCTAATTCTAGCATTATTTGCAAGGATAAGCTTGGCTGTGTTTGAGTGTGGAAGTCACGAAACAACCGCCTTTGTCCGTATAGCACGAGCGCGCCTCTCCGGAACACCAGTTGTCGTGTCCACTGCTGGACATGACCTCACATGCGCTCAGTACTGCCGTAATAATATTGAACCAACAACAGGAGCTCAACGAGTCTGTGCTTCGTTTAATTTCGACGGCCGTGAAACGTGTTATTTCTTCGATGATGCCGCCACTCCAGCCGGCACCGCTAGTTTGGCATCAAATCCATCAGCAAACAATTTTTACTACGAGAAAACATGCATCCCAGGTGTTAGCGCACACGAAGCATGCACATACCGATCATTTTCATTTGAACATACTCGAAAAACCGCTCTGGAAGGATTCGTTCGCAAATCCGTCCAGGTACTCTAATCGATAATGTGCTCTTCTGACAAGTACTGTCACAGTTAGAATGTAGACAAGCATCGGTGTGACAATCTGAAATCACGATCTGACAAGATGTACACCCATTGCAGATCTTATTTCAAATCTATAACTGCTACTTCTAAACTATTACTTGATGCACAAATCAAAATAGTTCGACTTGCTTAAAGTTGGCTAGTCCAAATGTTCTCCAACAGTTGTAATTTAAAATTCATATCTTCAGTAATGCTTTATAAGAATTCCATTCGAAGACTGATTAATTTTACGTGTCGTAAAGACTGATTTTTTTTATCTACTCAAAATGTATTCACACTTTGAAGAATTATTCTCATTTTGACATCCTCCCTGTCAGAATGCTTTTGTTAATCAGTAGAAGCATGGATCGCCATATCATTTATCAATCGATTTAAAAAAATAAGCAATATTTTTGTAACTTCATAGCACTGTTATCGAAATAGGAACCAATACAATAAAACATAGTTTTAAGTAGTCAGAAGGTTGAAAAAAAGTCAGTATGCTGAAATATCAAATAATTAGGTTAAAGTTAGTGAAAAAAGTATTAATTCTATTTCCAAAGAAGGGTTCGGTTTGGTAGGAACAGTGAATTAATTATATTTCATTCTTCCAAATATGATTTTCAGTTAAAATTTCGAAATCTTCGATTTTTTGATCCATTAAATGATATTTTAAGGTCGGATCTCGCGAGCAGTGTCTATCAGCATGTCTTAAAGAAGAAGAATTTGTTTGTCGTTCAGTAAATTACAATTATGACACTTATTTATGCGAATTATCAACAGAAGATCGGCGCTCCAAGCCAAATCATTTGCGACACAGTGACTCACCTATCGATTATTATGACAACAACTGCCTTTCACGTAATTTGTCTATAGTAGTCGAATTCTGAAAAAGATTTTCTCCCCTATTCTGTTCTAAATTTCCGTATTTAGAAATACAGAAATTTTGACAGAGAATTGATTTCCATACACGGAATATGTACTCTGATAGAAGTGACAGTGAAAGCAGCAGGTGAATTAAATGAATGTATTCCTAATTGTACCACCATTATGATTTCTAATTAGAAACCATTGCATAATATAAGAATTCCGACCACATAAATTCGAACTTTGTAAGGCCACATAAATTTTGATGACTTAGTTTTTCATCTAAGTCATGAATATTGCTTCTTATTTAAGGGTATTTCGATATTTAAACAAACAAAAAAAAATGAATGATTTAATTAATTTTTTTAGGTCAAAATCGATGTGGCGAAGCGGGTGGTAACCTGGTTTTCGTAAAAACGACCAATTTTGAGATACACTTTTATGATCATACGCAGTCTGTTGAGGCGCAAGAATCATTCTGTTTACAAAAGTGTCTGGATTCATTGAACACATTCTGTCGTTCCGTGGAATTTAGCCCATCCGAAAAGAATTGCATTGTGAGCGATGAAGATACATTCTCGAGAGCCGATCAACAAGGTCATATACAGGGCAAGGATTACTATGAGCCTGTTTGCGTTGCTGGTGAGTTTTTAAATGTTAAACTTCTGTTCAAATGCTAGAAACAGCACGCAAAAATTGATATTTTCATAGATTTAATTCTGAGACGAAATGTTGTTTTAGAAGTTACGAATCGGTATTGTTGAGAAGTTAATGAGCGATGACTTTTGCATCAAAATGATAGATGACAAATAAATTTTTAATGTCATTTTAAGTGATTTCGAAAAATTACAGCGGATCTCAGTTCTTCGACTTGTCGTCAACAGGCAGCTTTCGAGCGTTTTATTGGTAGTCAAATAGAAGGTCAACCAGTTGCTTCCGCTCAAGGTGTTACCTTATCGGACTGCATATCACTGTGCTTCCAGAATCTGAACTGTAAAAGTATCAATTATGATCGCACACAAATGACATGCTATGTGTTTTCGGTTGGACGTTCGGATGCAAATATTAAATCAAATCCTTCAACCGATTTTTATGAATTTAACTGCGGTAAGTCAACATTTGAAGTGTAGGGAAGTTTCAATAAAACACACATGATAGAAGCAAACAATCGATTTCTGATAATCACTTACAATGCCAGCAATAGATTTTTTTTATTTCGTATAAATGTTCAACAAAAGTTAAAAATTTGCATCGATTTTTGTTTTTTTTCAGCAGTATTAGTTCTCGCCTTCAATAGACAGCTTTACTTCTTTCATTTCCTTTCATTGCCTGATCCATTTTCTATATATTTTTTCCAATACTTATCAATTACTTGCAGTTTGGAACAAGGACGAACTTTGGCCATAAATTCTGCCAAAATATTTTTAATTCTTTCCTTGAAAACTTTTTTATTTGGAATCTTCTTTTGAAATAATTAGTCACTTCGTTTATGGTTCGTTGCTCGGTCAATAGTAGTTATTGACGTTTCTGTCCTACATGTCAATTACTGCTTTATTAAGCATTAATTGATTAATTAATTGCCTATTTAATCTATCAGGGTAAGCGAACTACTCGTTTTATCGCAATGTAAGTAAATGAATGAAATAATACAGTGGTGTAAGATGAAAATTAGATAAAAACGATTGCAGAATCGCAATTTGGCGGTATGGCATTATGTACCAACGAGGGAATACGTTTCATTGTGAATACCAAGGAGCCGTATACGGGAGCTATTTATGCTGCGGAACGATTTGGTACTTGTTCACAGGTTGTTGAAAATGCCAAACAGATTTCGATCAACTTTCCACCACCTACCGTGTCCTCGGACTGTGGCACCGTTATTAAGGTATTTTCATCTTTCTTCAAATTTTCTTACTTCAATATTTTGAAAAAAAGCCTCTTTTATTCTCCATACTCTGTGGAGAAAAGGGAATCTAATCAAACTATCATTCATCGATCCGCTTATACTTAGTAGTATTTTCTGCTCTCTCACAGCAATTCTTTTCATTATGTTTTAATTCATCAAGAATTTTGCAAAAATATAAAATATGTGAGATTTTTGATAAAACCAAGTAGTATGTAAAAAATTATACAGAAATAAGCAAAAGAACTTCTATATGATCTAAAAAACGAAAACTTAAGGATGGTAAGTTAGAAGCATTAGTTGTCGTATCATTGGATGGTGTGCTACCGCATCAGGTAACCACAGAATGGGATCGTTTCTATCGCGTTTCCTGTGATATATCAATGGATAAGATGATGCGTGAAGGTTCGGTTGTCGTCACAACAATTTATGATGCAGGGTAAGTTATTCTCCATTCTTGAATTCAAAAGAGCAGAACTGTCGCACCTCATCTTTTCCTGATATCCACAAAACAAAAAAAAAAAAAGAATATGAGTTTTTGATAACCTCTATGAATAATTTTGTAGCCCTTCAAATATTTAGCTACTATTTGTTTCAGAAATGTTTTCTTTTTTGATAGTAATACAAGAAATTGCCGAATTTTAGAGAAGCGAACACACGTGTTCTTGCTGTAGGAACTCCACCACCAGTAACTGCAACGTTATCCTTCCTCAGTGCTGATGATGAACCCCTGGAAAAGGCTTCGATTGGTGATGCAATCCAAATGGTTGTTACGTCGGAACAAGCTGGGCCTCACAATATGATGCTAACGGAATGTACCGCAACACGAGTTGGGGGAGAGGGAGACGCTGTACCTTTTACTATCATCGAAAATGGGTTAGTACAACATCTAGAAGCTACTATGATTTCGGAGGAAAGCGGTCGTGAAATGTTGATTATCGCCATTGACCGCTTGAATCTTTCCTCTGATGGCTTGTATTTCTAGAAAATGTAAGTGATGAACAATTCCTAATTCCTTTGAAAAATTTCAGAATGATATAATATAGATGATATAAATCTTATCTATAGAAATAGTCCTCTTTTGATTTTCCATTTACTATACTTATGTTACGACTGTCGTTCAATTAATCCATGTACTATATAAAGATTGAAGTTTAATACTAACAAAACAGCGATTAATTAAGTTGCCCACGTTACCCGGCCTTGGTTGGACCCGTTGGACAAGATTTTGAGAAAAATCGCCTCAAATGTGACATGAAAGCATTCCGATTAGATGGTTCCTACGACGTTCAGATTTTATGTCAAGTAATGTTCTGTGCTGGACCCAATGGATGTCCACCGGTAAGCTTCACCACTCTCATATTATTTGCTTGAGAAATCGAAGATAATTTCAGAATTTTCTAATATTTTCTGAATATTCCGGAAAACTGAAAGAAAAGCTAATAAACAGAAGTGATATTCCTAGTTAGATATTATGTGACCGAATTAGAAGAATAAAAAAGTGAAAGATACGGAGGAAGAAGTTTACTAACTGATTACTTCTTGATTTTGTAGAGTAATTGCCTGGATTCTGGAACGAATGAGCTCTTTATGTCTCATGGAAGGCGGAAACGAAATATCGATGATGGTGATCAAACAGAAGGAACACTGTCTGCAATAATAAGAGTTCTTGCAAAAGGAGAAGATGAAGAAGTTTTACAAAATACTACCTTCTCGAATAAGTAAGTTCTTCAGTCGGTTTTCAGCAGCAAACTTTATTAGTATTTAGCCAAATTTCTGAAATACAAGTCATTTTGAAATAAGTTCAGAAGATGATTTTAATTACTAATCATTTAAAATTAAAAAATTTTAGCGCTTTTTCGGAGGAATTCGATCTGGTATGCATGTCGGAGGTGTGGTTCATATCATCCATCGTGTCGGTATCCGTAGTATGCTTGGTTCTGTCTGCATTTATTGTTGTGTGGGGTTGTAGCTCTTTAAAGAAGGAAAAATTGCCGTTGTAATTATTTTTTGTTCGTCACAGAATCTCCAAGAAGCTTCACTTCAGATCAAGCTTATAAAAGAGTGATTAGAAAATCCATGATATCTGTTATCTTTTTGCTCAGCACCATTCTACCTACCATTTTCTAATTCAAGAAAAAAAAAGAAATCTCGGGCAAAAATGCTGAAAAAAAAACCGAGTAAAAAGTAATGCAACACGGTGATGATATTATTTAGCGGTACAATAATAAATTGCTAAATGCATCTTTCTTAGCAATTTTTTCTAACTGAGAGAACTTGTTGAATAAATTCATACTCTTCTTCTTTATAATGCATCTTTTTGCTTCTACAAAACATTATTCTACCATTCTCCAGTGATTTCCAAATGTGCCACGCAGTTTAGAATGATATTTATAATTACTCGTTGAGCTTTCTCTTTTATTCATTCCTATAATTCTCCATCATTTTCCTGAAACTTCGGGAAATTGGGTTGTTGTATTCTTCTCGTGCACCATGTTTTTCGTATTCTTATTTTAAATTGAAAAAAGATAAAAGTACTTTCAGTATTTTCCGTGAACATATCAAAACTTCATATTAATGAAATCGCAAATGCGTCCTTCTCTTGAGATTTCTGATGTTCATTTGACTTCTCCACAACTTTTTTAGTGTTCATATCAGGTTACATTTTGTGTAATCATACTCCGTTATTCTTTGTTGTGTGGGAAAATAAGCCATTTTCAGAAAATATTTCAAAACATTTGCTATATTTTCCAGTGGTGTTAGAAGTGCCAACGTTCGATCATATGCCATTAATCAGTACAATCTGACGCGAGCTTTATTTTGTCCTGGGAATCCCCATCAAATGTATTTTTGAAAAAGTATGAGATGACTGCGAAAAATACTTCTGTGCAGCGTCGACGTATATTCGATGTTGATCAAAATTTCAGTTATATCTTCGTCAGGAAGCGGATTTTTCGCAAGCATAACGGAAAAAAGAACAATTCTGCAGATACTGCCATTTTTTGAATGAAAGTCCATACAGTGCAATTAATTTCAGTTTAGCCCGAACTAACACTCCCAGCACTGCATTGATCTCACTTTTTAGTAATTTGCTTCGTGCGAGGAAGTATTGCTGGATCGCTGGTATGTATTGCTGAATAGGAAATGCTTTGTAGACATGCTGAAATAAACGCGTCCGTGATTAGCTGCTTATTCGTAGCAAAGTATGCTATATAATTAATATTGCATATGGTGTGCGGTTCTGCAAGACATATTTGAGATTAATGCTTCCCAAAAAAGAAACGTTAGCGACAACTAAATTATAATGTTGATTTTGAATTTGTAATGTAATACTTGAAACATCACTGAACCCTGCTCTTCAATACTGTTCATGACAGCATTAGCTGTTTCGGATATACTTGCTATAGACACTATTACTGAATTAATTTAGCGGGAGGTCTCGTGGGATCAAGTAACGAACTTTGAAAGGATCACTGCACTCGCCTTATCTCACATTTCCAACTTTTTTCTTTCCTTGAATTATGGTTGATTTAGGACGGACCTTTGCATTCAAATGATGTGGAACCGAATGAACATATGATTACAAAAATTTCGGGATTTCACATTTTTACTTTTCATTCTTAAAATGTATTCAAAGCAAATATGTAACAAAAAACATGCTTGAGGAATCAGCAACACCGTTCTCAATTTTCTGAATATCAGGATGAAACATAGCAGTTTGTGAGAAATAAACGATAGCTTACTGTTGTGGAATATCTTATGAAGGATTCTCTCCAACTATGAATGATTATTTCCCTGAAGTCTTTCAACCCAGTTTTACCATGCACCTTCAGGTATAGAAATAGAGGAAAACATATAAATTCCAAACTTCGATCACAGCAATTACTCGTCCCTTGTTTTTATTCCATAGATTATAATTGATTAGTTAGACCTGAGGTGTTGATTTAGAAAGACGAATCTTACTTTTTAAGAGCAAGCGCAAAACAATAAAAAATCAAGAGTAACAATCTGATTTCCCTCAAAACTAAACTGCGATATCAGAAGCATCTTCGAGTTAAGCACCACCAGCAGTGCTGAAATTACATTACAGAACCGAATCCTTTATTTACTTGCTGTTTATCTCGACAGCGACAAGCTTTTGTGAGATAATCCCACCTTCGAGCTACCCAGCATGCCGAAAGGATGTGTATCTCGTGACATACGTGCGTTTCCACGTCTGCTCAACTCCATATTTCACATTGGCACCTCACCTACCGCACCCTTGAACCTGCCTGATGGATGCATTTGTTCTCCATACCCCTCTTTACTACTCCCAGGACAGTCGAAACCAATGTTCACTGCACGAGCCATACTGCGTGTCACATCTCGTCGCACACATCTATTCCCGCACTTGTTGGTCCTAATAGTTGTACCGCATTTTGCTGTATTTAAGTTAGCTTGTACATCGTATTGTGTATGAGGCAAGTAACATTGCTTTCAAATTCTTTTTAAAATTGTCTGCTGTTCTGCTGAAGATTTGTAAAGCAAAAAGATGTATTGGATAAGAGAATACCAAAGGAATTATAATAAATGCAATAGTATTATCACCGAAGGTGGATTTTTGCGATATTTTAAAATCCGCTATTCCGGTTTTTTGGCACATATCCATTTCCTGCTTCTCACATCTTAACTGCTTAATATGTAGTGAACACTTTCTCGTCATGTTTAAAAGCTTTCCATAAAGTTGTACATGAAAGCAAACAAGGAGATAATTTCAGATATATGGAAGGTTTAATATGTATAATATATTTTTTTTTTGTAAATGGACCGTGTGGACTTCACGCAGGATTGATAGCTGCACATAATAAACTTAAAACTACTGTAAGTATTGCTGGTTATCGTATTTCCCAAAATTACATGTGTTTACACGGTACAGTAAAATTTTCTGATTTTATGTCAGATGAAGTCTTTATTTTTCATTATCCCACCGTTTACAGAATGATGACCTAACGGTAATAGTAGATGTACCTTTGGAACCGAACTGTTCACAACCAATTTGCCTAGGACCATTGTCTCAAATTTATTGTTCTGGGAAACTAGTTCATACAACATGGATGTTTGGAATGCAAGAAACATGCCCTGGTAATATGATGCTTAAATCACCAGGAATTATTTTGGAATTGTTTACTAAGTTAGTTATTTAGATTACGAAAAAGTAAAAACTCCTTTCCAAACAATCAACTTTAAGATGTACTGTGTTTTTCATAGTCATAAGTAATAAAAGATGCTATTATTTATTAAATATTCAATGCTATTATATGCGCGCCTAATATTTGCTACAATACTACAGGCAGTATCTAATTATTCAGAATATTTGTTTCTATCAGAATAAGGCATTAATGCGTACAGATTATAGATAAATTACTATGTATTTTCAGTCTCACTTATCCATTAAAACGTGAACAGTTTCAAAAGTTTTGTACCGAAAACTTCGCGAACATAAATTATCTAAAACAGGCAACTTTGGTAGATTGGACTGAGGAACCGGAAAATATAAGAAGATTGCAGAACACTTCATTAAAGTAAGTGTTTTCTAACTGTGAAGAAGTAGTGTCTTAAATGCATTTATCGTATCTGGTGGATCCTTTCAAACATATTTTTGTTAGGATTCCTGAAATGTCAAGGCTTTAGATTTACTTTAAGAAAATTTGCTCGAAAGCTAAATGAATTATGGAAAGTGTTGGCACGAGAATTCGTGGAACAGGTACATAAAACTCCTGAGTTATTCCCAATTTTGCCTGTTTCAAACGCATTCATCGTACCTGGTGGTTCGTTTCAGATGTATTTTTACTGGGATTCGTATTGGATCAACAAAGGTTAGCATCATATTCCAGCTATATTGGTAAACATGAATAGAATCTCGCCACGTAACATGTACAGTATTCCATCTCTATTATTTGACATTTTCGTTACTAATTATTTTCATTTCTTGAATGCACTTTACTATGTTTATATACTTAGTAATTCAACTTGCATCGTCCGACATTTTCTGAGAATTTACTTTTTCAGGATTGTTATTTTCAAACATGTCGACAACTGTTCGTCAAATCCTTGAAAATCTGGCCAGTGTTGTGCGGTTTCATGGATTTATTCCAAATTCGGGTAATGTGCAGTAAGTCTTCTACACCTGATAAATTCTTATTATAGTTGCTTAATATATTTGGTTTGTTAAAAACAAAATACGGACTTAAGACTGATCAGATTAAAACTGATTACACTAGTTACATGAAATCTTGACCTAGTTCCTCACTCTTAGGTTTTGCTGCAGATTGTCGCGAAGAAGTAATCCTCCATTATTTACGCAAATGGTTGCGGATTATTATGATGCTACCGGTAATAAAACTCTGCTAAAAGAGATGATACCGTGGATGGATCAAGAAATGTTATGGTGGGCAAAAAACCGAGCACTTGACGTTAAGTTGCCCTCTGGTCAAAAGTATCAAATGTATCAGTACAGAGTGAGTAATCCTAACGTTCATGCTGTCGGTGAAAAAACACTAAAATTAATTTGAATGGATTGCTTCAGGCTTCATCCACGTGCCCGCGTCCAGAAAACTACTTAATCGATCTGAATAATGGATTAAATGGCACGGGACATCCTGAATTTATTTGGTCGTCAATCGCTAGTGCTTGCGAATCCGGATTCGATTTTAGTACAAGGTGGTTTGCACATCAGGGAATATATGCTGGTGAGTTTCATTTTCTTTTTTTTTATCAACTAGCTTTTATTGCAAGCCTTTCTAGATAGCAAATATTCGATCCGGACCAATGATATTATCCCTGTTGATCTGAATGTATTTATGGCTTGGAATTTTGCTACTCTTACCAATTTTCACGAAATACTTGGAAGATCCAAGTACGTTGTTCATTTTTTTGAGACAGATAGATTTCATGTTTGATTTTTTCTAGTGTTTTCGGTTTATAACACATTTTTTCGTGTGACTTTGTGCTGTGAGAAATCGTTAGTTTTGTTTTGAATAAATTTCAATAATAGATATTTTAAGGAAGGCATCTGAATATCGTGAACTGCATAAGAGGTTACGTAAAGCAGTGGATGAGGTTTTCTGGAGTGAGGATTATGGGGCGTGGTTTGATTATGATTTAATGGAGCAGAAACTGAGGAGCGGCTTCTATCCGTCTAATGTTTTTCCACTTCTACTCGGTAGCTATGCTGCTCGCATAACTAAAAAAGTGCTTCACTATTTACTCGGAAGTGGGACACTTAATTTCAAAGGTAAATTAACTTATGTGAAATTATTTTTAGTTTGGAAAAATTTCATTTTTTTAGATTCGAAAAAAGGTTTCTTCAATTTGCGAATTTAATGTATAAGACGTTGTAGGTGGCATTCCGGTGAGTTTAAATAATGCTTCTCATGAGCAATGGGATTATCCAAACGGCTGGCCACCGCTCACACATTTGTTTGTGGAAAGTTTGCGGTTATCAGGAGATGAAAAGCTTGTTGAAATAGCTGAGAAAGCAGCCTGGAAGTTTATTCGCACTGCTTACAATGGAATGATGAAACCAAAAAAGGGCATGGTTTGTGCCGTTGTTTTGTATTGTTGTTTGAATGTTATTGTAATTTACTCATTTTGATTTTTTTGGCATCAACCTGATATTTTTCCTTAAAAAAATCGTTACAAAAGCTTTTTTTGTGGTATAAATGATATAATCCGTGTATAATATAATGTGAAGAAACAGCATTACCTTTTTGAAGCCAGCGGCATGTTGGGAGAAGTATGATATTCGATACGATGATGGTAGACCGGGCTCAGGTGGCGAATATCCTGTACAGCAAGGTTTTGGGTGGACAAATGGTGCCTTGCTCGATCTCATTTACAAATACGGAATTTCTAGTCAATATACAGTTTCTAGCGGTAAGCTGTTTCTCTCCAAATACTTGTAGGAAAAGGGAAGCAGTTCAGAAAGACGAAAAAACTTTTATGGAAATAGGGTGGGAATAGAATTTTAGGATTCGTTATTGGAAAAGATGATATATTTTACGTTATTATATTGGCAATCTCCTTCCGCATACTTTTTTATACTGTTCACAATATCAATGAAAGGTGATACGTTCAAAAAGATCATTTTTTACAATTACCCTTAGTTGTATCGCTTAACTTCTGTAAAATATACTTTTTTTCTTCCTTTGTTCTTCATGTTAATGAAAATAGCGGTCTACCTCATTGATCTTTTCTGTTACGCCAGGTTTTCACTTCTGAAAGTTATTAATCTACTCAAGTTAATTAGGGCAACAAATTAGCTAAAGTAGCAAAGTGCTAATTACTGTGCATTTGCCTAATAGTTACTTCAAATTGAAATGTTTTTTTTAGAATTTTTCCTATTTTTTTCATATATTGGCACACTTTGACACGAACATTCGTCTGACAGTTTGTTGTATTTGTTGGTACTGCAGTAATTGTTTATGGTCAAAAATCATCCTAATATATTGCTAGTTGAAAGTGAAAAAATATTATTAGTAAGCTGTGATCATTCATTTGATGAAAAATCTGTAGCTTTTAATGTTACACTAGTTACGTTTCACATCTTGGTGTTATAAATTAGAAATTAAGAAGCTTCCTTTTGCATCGACGTCTATAGGAAGGGCAGTTTTTTTCCCCACGAGAGAACACTTGAAAAATTGATAGATCATGCTATTTCTCACAGAATAATTTGTACTTATTTCATATTTGTTTCATGTGATTATAGAGCAAAAAATGAAAATATAAAGCATGTAAAATGAAAAATGAAAATACAAAGCATGTAAAACTTTTCATATCGAAATTTCTCTGTTCAGAAATCATTTGTTTACGCCTATATATTTTCAGCAGAGCCAATGAACTCAGGTGAATTGTCTGTGAGTGGGAAACAGTTCATTTTCTTGGTTGTTATACTGTTTGGATTATTAATGCTTTGGTAAGATTTATGAAGAGAATTTAGACTTTATGAGAATTTGGTAAGCTTTATGGAGGAAATTTGAAAATTTATTTGGGACTAAAATTATGAATTTGTATACCTGTATTTTGTAAATATAAAAGCCCGGTACTTACTGCTGTTTTTGAATTTCCCCTTTTAAGCTGGTGACAGGCATCATCGTCTCATAAAATCTGTTCTCTGATGATGTTTACCCAGAATTTAAAAATTTTTTCAAAGAAACGAAACACTGCTGGAGAATTTAACTTTATGTTATCAAAAGCCAGATTCATATAAGTGAAAAAAAAAGCTAACATTATATCAAACTGTAAATGTTCTAGGCTACTGACAATTTTTATGCTTCGCTTGAAGAAATTTTCCAATATTAAAGATGAAGAAGTACAGCTTGCTGAAGCAGTTCATCTTCTAGATAATGAATGGTAAAAGATGTGATTGTTAGTGATTCGACGAATAATCTTAACGCATGACAACCTTCTACGTCCGTTTTATTTCCAGGGAATTTTTCCCAAAATTTACATGTCTTTCATAATTTTCGGGTTCAATCGTCGTCGTTTTTATTTTGGCCTCGTCACTTTTTCAATCTTTAGTCTTGTTTTTCCTTGCTTCTTTGGCATTATATTTGGTTTATTATTTTGTCTAC